AAAAAGGCCGGAAGCCTTAAAACAAGATCTATTCCAACTACTTAATATTTGGTAACAAATGGATTCATCACGGCCCAGAGAGTCAAGAAGGGATGAAAAGGAACCTACCGTATGACAAAGGGGGGGGAGAGAATGAGAATATGAACAACCGAAAGCAAGTGGCCAGGAGCCAGGATACAATTACATTTTCTATTTGACTCTGACACACCACACGCCTTTGCCAAATCATGAGTACCTCTTAAACATTAATTGAATAATATCTCACTAAGCATTTGAGATTATCAATAAAAAAGCAACAGACAATAAATCATAAAAGGAAACTTAAAAGAAACAATTCAAGTTACTGGTAGAGATCCGCTTCTAGACCCTTCGTTCTAGCAGCACTTTTAGAAGTGTTGGGTAGAGTAACAGAAAAAGCAGCGAAGCATCCCATGACCTCCTGGTTTTCAGAATGTCTTAGCGAGGACGTTCTGTGTGCACCAACCAGACTGCCCGGCTCTCCCTGCCCCAGTAGCTGTATCCACCACGTCCACATGTGCTTCTGTGGGCATCTCACTGGTCTGAGACAAGGACACAGCGCCTGGTCCAGTGTCTTGCCCACAGCACAACTCTGTAAACAAGTACACGCTGGGCCGAGTCTCAGTGTTCATCCGAAGACAACCTCCGACATCACTGCTATCCTCAACGTCACTGTCATGCATCACCCAGCATGCCATTCTGTCAAGAGCGCTCAAGGACACCACTTTCACTGTCACTGCCCCAGGAAGCCCAGGCCTCAGCTCGGCCAGCCTCCAGCCCTTCTCCTATCTTTCCCTGGCAGGGACTGGAGTGACCACCGGTGGCTCAAGCCAGAAAGCTGAACATCAGTTGTGACTCTTCCTCCCTCCGGCACCCCCCATCCAACTGTCCACCAGAGCTAGTAGATTCTTCCTTGTAAATCTCTCTAGCATGGAATTGTTTCTAAATCCTGGTTCAAATACCATCATCTCTCACCTGAATCACAGCAACGAATCTTCCAGTGGCCTCCCCCACCCAACAGTCCTGACCCAGCCCATCTACTCTCCACACGCAGACTATGGCCTCCCCCCCCAACAGTCCTGACCCAGCCCATCTACTCTCCACACGCAGACTATGGCCTCTCTGAAATGCAAATCTGACAGTATTTCTTTTTGCTTAAAAAATCTGTAATGGCCCTGGCCGGTTTGGTTCAGCGGTTAGAGCGTCAGCCCGCGGACCAGAGAGACCCGGGTTCGGTTCCCGCTAAGGGCACGTACCTAGGTTGCAGTTTGTCCCTGCCCCAGGTGGGGTCACGTAGGTGGTAACTACTCAATGTGTCTCTCTCACATGGATGTTTCTCTCTCTTTCTTCCTCCCTCTCTCCCTCCCTCTCTATCGGAAGATGAATGCAAAAATGTCCCTGGGTGAGGATTAAAAAAAAATCTGTAATGTCACAGTGATTAAGAAGGCTGTTATTTTTTTAAAACCACACACAAAAAAAAGTGTTAGCAGGGATGTGCACTGCTGTGGAAACAGTTTGGAGACTCCCCAAAAGTGAAACATAGAATTACCATATGATCCAGCAACTGCACTTCTGGGTACAGACCCAAAAGAATTGGAAGCAGGAACTCAAACAGGTCTCTGTTTACCCACGTTAACAGCAGCATCACTCGAAGAGCCTAAATGTGAGGCAACCCAACTGTCCCCTGGCAGATGAGTGATGAACACGATGTGGTATACACACACTTTCAAGGGATATTATTATTCAGCCTTAAAAGGGGAGCAACTGACATACTCTATGGCTTGGATGAGCCTTGACTGAACCTTGCAAGGTGAAATCAGCCACTCACAAAAAGGCAAATGCTATATGATTCCAATGATATGAGGTCCCTAAAGTAGTCAAATTCTTGGTGACAGGAAGTAGAATGGTGCTTGTCAGGGGTTGGGGTGGGGGAAATGGGAAGGTATTGTTCAGTGGGCAAGAATTTTCAGTTTGGGAAGACGACGAATGTTCTGGAGATGGATGGTGGTCATGAGTGCATGGCAGTGTGGATGTATGTAATGCCACTGTACTATACACTTAAAAATGATTAAATGATAAATTTTGTTATATATATTTTTCCACAATAAAAAAACCAAACATGCACACAAAAATCTATAATGCCTTCCCACTGGCCTCAGGACAAAGTCTAGAGATGTGACTGACAGTGCCCTGGAAGACGGTCCCAGCACACCTACCTCTTGAGCTACTCTCCCTTCCTCCAGGGCCTCGCCATACTGACCTGTGCTGGGGCTGGGCCCGCACTGCTCTGCACATCTTTGTACACACTGTGCCCGCTAACCACTAGACAACCGCCTCTCCAGTCGTCACTGCTGGTCACCTTCAGCCCCGTGTGTTCCTTTGTAGCATTTATCACAATATTGTAGCTGCCTGTTTGCTTTCTGTCTCCCTTCCTACTAGTATTAGCTCTCCGAAGGCAGAAACATGTCTCAACTTATTTAGAATTGCATCTTCGGTGCCTGGCACATACAAGTATTCAGTAAATTGTTGAGCATATAAATAAATAAATGTAGAAAATTGGAAAGTAATTCTGGAAGCACACATTTTAAAATAAAATAGGTAATACCCACAACTAGACACAAAACATTTCTTTGCAGGCATCTTTGAAAGAGTCTATGTCTTGTTACAAAGAGTTGATCAAAAGGCTCAAATTCCTGAGATAAAATTCTAAATATGAAAAATTTCTCCCAAAATACTCCATTTTTTCTTCTACAAATTTTTCTTGATGGACAAAAACGCATTTTACCCATTTGTTTTTTAATGCCATTCTGTTCGATTCAAAGTTGTATGTACACAGGTCTCTCATTCCTTCAAGATTCGGTCTTTGAGAGACACTAAGCCAAAGACTTGAAAATATTCACACACATGCCATATTGAACGAACGAGTTACTTGCCCACAGTTTTAACAGTCTGTGAAGTTTTTTAAAGGCAGGATCAGCTTCAAACTATAGAACCATCTATCTTTTCTCAGATTCTGCAACCAAAGAATTTATGATTCCAAAACATCAATGTCTAAGACCTTACAATTTCAACATCAACCACTCACACCAGCTAATTTAAAGTGGAGAGAGTCTAAAATGGGCCGTGCGACACAAGGTGTCTGGTGAAGTCCAAGCAATGGCTTTGGTGCCTGTTCTCAGAGCTCTGCAACCAAAGACTCGCATCTGAGATGGAAACTGTATCAGAAAATGTAGAAACAAACAGCAGAGGACTTCCTCCGACCCTGGCCCCTTGCCCCATCTTTCTCTTCCTCTCTTTTTAAGAGTCAAACCAGGCCATCTCAACGGCACCTAAAACCTTATAAAGGGGAAATAGATGTATTCCTTAGTCCTTGTCTGAATCTGATTCTTTTGTTATAAATTGATATCTAATTGACTGTATAACAGTATAGATATAATTGACCATATAAAAATATAGCATTATATTAGTTTCAGGCATATAACGTAATAAATCAATTATTTGTATAGATTGTGAAATAATCTCCACAGTAAGTCTAGTTAACATCTATTACCATACACAGTTATAAAAACTTTATTTATTTATTTATTTATTTATTTATTTTTGTGGTACGTGCCCCTAGCAGGAACCAAACCCGGGATTCTCTGGTCCGCAGGCCAACGCTCAACCGCTGAGCCAAACTGGCCAGGGCTATAAAAAGTTTTTCTCTTGTGATGAGAACTTTGAAGATCTATTCTTTTAGCAGCTCTCAAATATATAATACAGCATTATGATCTAGTATCACCATGCTGTGCATTACATCCCCAGGTCTTATTAATTTTATAACTTGAAGTTTGTACTGACTCCTTAATTAAAAGTGAATTGGCTACATGCATACACTGGACTATTCCTCAGCAATATAAAGGGAAGCCAGTACACACAGCCATTTGCCAAGTCTCAAGATGTTACGCTGAGTCAAAATTGCCAGACTCCAGTGAATACACACTATGACTCCACTCCCATGAGGCTTTAGAGCAGGCGAAACAAGTCTGTGGTCATCAGGACAGTTATGGCTTCGGGTGAAGACAGAAGTGACTAAGGACAGATGTCAGGGAACCTTCTGGGGTCACAGAAATGTTTCCCACTGAACCAAGGTGGGGGTTACACTAGTGTATCCATCTGTTGAACTGATCAAACTGCAGACTTAAGGTGCCAGCATCTCCCTGTATGCAAATTATGCTCTAATTTTTTAAAAAAGAGAATGCTTTCTTCTATCTTTTTAAAAACGTTTTATTACCTAAAAATGTAAAATCCTACTTGGTCTCTGTCAAGTATTCGGTGCCTTATGAAGCCAGTTACCAGGTGTGGCCCCAGTGCCCGGGGCTCAGCGAGCCCTTGGAGCAAACAGCAGACAGGCGCTGTGAGAAAACTGGGCCGAGGCGGCGGGGAGAGCCGGGGACGATGGAGAGGTCTCCAGTACTGCCCAGCCGACCATCTGCAAGGCCCTCACCAGAGACACGTCTGCTCTGCGAGGGGAGGAACCGTGGCTCCCGCCTGGTCTGCAGAGCACACAGGCGCCCGCCCCGGAAGGGAATTGTGAGACCAGCCCCACGAAGCACAAGGGGGCAGCTGGTTTCGTGCTTTTCTTCCCGCAGAGACTGAGCACTGTCCACCACAGAACATAAGACTCCTGTTTAGGCAGCCTCATCACATTTGATGAGAGAAATGACTGCTAGTAACACATGGTACTGAACTTCCAGACTCAAGGCAGGGACAGCTAGCAGACAGGGAGAAGGGAGGGAGGGTCTAACTGAATGAGAAGTCAATGGATAAAACAGATAAAATATCATTTCGTTTGCATTTTAGCAGGCTTTGCGCCAAACATGCATTCCCATCGATTTTCCTCCTCTGACCCATTTCTCTCCCTTTGCGGACATCAACACGCGCAGCCACGTGCACGAGGAATTAAGCACACTGACGGCTTGTAAAACTTTGGGGTCACTCACCTTACGCTGGCTACGTGCTGGTGCACGGGCTGGTGCTGGAAATGGTCAGGCCACGGGTGATGCAGGCAGAAGGGCGGAGAGGGCTGGAGACAGCACGCGGTCTGGTAAACGGGGGCGTGGTGCGGACACAGAGATGCGGGGTACTCGGCGTGGGGCTGCATGATGCAGCACGAGGCCAAAGCAGAAGGGGGCGCAGGGCCAGCCTCGGGGTGGCGCTCTTGGTGACTGTTGTGCGGCGACAGCGGATGATGGTATGGGCAAGGATGGCAGCACTGGGCCAACAGCTGAGCCGTTCTGTGGTTGTCTAAGGGCAGGAAGGATGCTTTGACTGTGCCATTCACTTGCAGGCACCCATTTGGACTCACTTTTGCTCTTGGTGCTTCTTTGGGTGTGAGCTGCTGGGCTGCAAGGTCTCCGTCACAGGGGGGCAGGGGGCTGGGGCTGGCTGTGCTGGCGGCGACACTGCCATTGCTCAGAACCACAAACTCGCTGCTCCCATTGCTCATGGCCATGCTCCAATTTCTTGACCCTAAGGAAGAGACAACACGAAATCCTCCAGTTAGAGTCAGGCAGGCAGATCTGTGGGAAAGACAGGAAAGATGCTTAAGGACAGCTCTTTGCAAACAAAGGTTCTTGCAGGAGTTTGAGACAGTTCCAGAGGCTGGCTGGTGCGACAGAGCCAGCCAACACCTCAGCCCTCCTGGTCTCTCCTCCCAGCTACTTCCGGCACCCTGAGAGCCCTCCTCTCTTCTTTTGACTCCCCCCTCCCCACTCGCTCCTTTCTTCCCTCCCTGTCCAGATGTGCAAGTCTTAGTTAAGAATTAGAACGTTGGGGGCGGGGGGGGGGGGGAGAGGAGGAGAGAAGATCAGTATTGTCCTCAACTTTTCACCAATACCATGCTTGGTGTGTCCTGACATTGGAGCAATGGGCAAAGCAAAGAGCCACTCTCAGGGCAATAAACTGCATAGGTTAAAATAATGTGAATAATCGTAAGAATGTCTTATAAAAATGTCAAGAAAATATGACTTTCCCTCAAAGTCATTCAGGTCCTAGAATAAGAATAAACAAAAGAAAATAAAAACTGATCAGCTCAGCATTGTAGCAACCAAGCTATCAGACACAAAAGTACTATCCCCTAAATCAATAAATAAAATGCTAAAAAAAAGTAATGAACACACATGCCACATAGGTCGCCGTGAACTGACTGTTTTCTAGGTTATATACTGCAATAGCCTTCATCGTTTGCAGGTGAGAAAAAAACTAGTGTGGATGGGATCTGCTTCAAATGAGATTTTTGTTCTTAATTTTTCCTTCCACCAAAGCGCCGATGTAAAACAATAAAGGAAAATAATGCTCGGATTACCAGTAGCATGTTTATGCCCAGTCACCAAATGAAAGCAAAAACAGACAACCTCCTCCCTCTCCCATCACCCACTCACCGCCCTCTGACCAACACACAAAATCTGGAAATTTGCAGTAAAAAAAAAACGGGTCATCAAAGGCTATGACTGGTCCATTTAACCTTACATGAAGGCCAACAAGAAAAAAAGCAATCCATGGTTTGGCTCGCTGACCCTTCTGAAATGGCATTCTTCTGAGTAGACAAAAGCTTCTGGAGCAACCTCTCTCCATCTCTCCCACTTTCTACAGACATGAGGTCCCAGAAGAACCATCTCTTCCCAGTCTGACTACATGCATGTTTCCACCCAAGAGAAAAACGACTCAAGAGGGGCATTTCTGAGCAGAACATGCCAGAACATACCCAACACAAAGCAATGATGGCTAAACATGTTATCCAACTAGGAGGAGGCAGGATGGGCAGCTGGTAGCCCCGACCCGACCGAGGGGCACTGACTCTACCCTTCCTTCCATCGTGTTCTTAATGTAACCACCTCAGCAAGATCTGCTCACTTCAGCTTCTGCTTACCGAAGGACAGAGCCTCCCTTTCAGTTGTTAACAAAGGAAAGAGCTGGGTGCAAATGCTCTGAAAACTAACACATAAACGCCACCTCAAAAGGCACTAGACTTTTTAAAAAGTTAATTGAAATGTAGGACGTTTATTAGTGGGCTTAAGGGGAAGCCGTCTAGATCACGTGAGCAGCAATGGTAGATGAGATCGGGGTAGTCGTTCCCTGAAGTGGAGACTCTCCGTACAAATACTGAAGGAACTGCTTTCTCTCGCCTCCACCCATGACCCAGGCTCCCGAGCCTTCGCTCCTGCCTCAGCCAAGGTGCCCCGCTGCTGGGTCTGCTGGGATGAGTGGGAAAATCAATGACTCCCTTTCCCCTTTCCATCGGGAGGACAGAAGGATGGCAGACTTTTTCTGGTTTGATGGTTTGGTTCTGCCAACCCAGGTTGGCTAATATCTCAGAGAGTCTATTCTTTTTTAAAATTATTTAATTCAATCAATCCTATTGACTCTAATCATAGCTGTTGGGTGAGTTATGCTAGTGAGAAGCATCTAACAACAAAATCCTTGAGGTTTTCAAGGAAAACTGGGCTCCACACAGCACCATCCGTCCATCGCCAACACCCACCGCGCGGGCATCCCCTGCGGACCCTGTCACCTCCTGGTTCCCTAGCTTGTAAGGGAATCTGCTTTTCCTCAGGAACAAAAATGACTTTTTTTGTCTTGGTAACCAGAGTTACAACTATCATTCCCTCTTATTTTTATTACAAATGCATCATTTTGTAGTGACATAAGAGTTAACAGATTTTTGCAGGCCAGCCAAGGGACTTAATCAACCATTTATGACATTTTCCCCCCACTGTGGTAAAATGTGGTTCAAATGCCAAATCACTGACTTACAAATGAGTTTCTGGAACAAAACCCGTTTCGTAACTCAGAGACTTCTGGCGGTGGGGTAGGGACCAGCGGACAGTAAAGAGTAACTTGAACTCCGACTTTGGCGTGTACGTGAAGTCAGTCACGTGAGCTTTCTGTGAGTGTGTCTTGACTCATAGGAGGAAAAAATCAAATTGACTTTATAAATAAGTTATGAATTATAAGTAAAAAAATCATAAAAAGCAAAACCAGGACAAAAGGGTCCTAAGAAATGTCCACAGGTTAAATTCAGTGGCTGTACTGGTGCAGGACTTCAGGGGACCAGGGGAACAGCGAAGTTGCCATCTGACCTCAGGATGACCCAAGGCCATACAGAGAAAGATCTTCTCTCTTGAGAACAGAGACAGATGAGAAAAAACATTGTGATCTGAGCCTCGGACAGAACAAGAAAGGAGATGAGACAGAGGAAGAGTCAACATCGTAAGAGAAGGAACTACTGTAGGAAATGTAATGCCCTATGATTATAAACGCAGTGATCATAGTATTTATGGTGGAGGCTTAAATTCAGTTTTGGAGCAAATAGAATGAACAATTTTAGAAGACAGCTACGTTAAAATCACCTGTTTTCCCCCGGGCTATGACACACAGTGACTGCCAGGAAATAAACGACCCTTGAGGTGTGACGGGCGCATGGCCAGACCCTCGCATGTATTTCCTGCCGTTCATGCATGTAATACGCCAACAGCAATACAGTCGAAGCCACCAATCCCACCCTCCCCATTTCTCCTTTCCTACTGACTGCTTTAGCAGTGTGGGGCTGTGAGGCTTTAGGCCATGGACCTTCTTTTGACTATATTTTAAAACTTAAGATTTTTTTCCCCTTGAGCCTCAGTTCTTCAAATGTGTAAGTTAGGATAATAACCGATGTCCATCTCGTTGGGTTACTATGAGAATGTAAAAATCTTTTGAAAACTATAATGGGTTATGTATCTATGGTGGAAGAGTTAGCATTATTGTTTCATTGAGTGAGAATATTAAAAAAATACAGAATAGTTTGAAAGCCAAAATGATGTCTTAAAATGGCAGCCGAGACATCTGTATCTTGAAAGAAATAGCCTGGGTAGGTCTGAGTTTGAAAGTTGAGAGCCTGGGTCAAGTTACTTGGACTCTTAGAGTCTCTAAGTCTTGGTTGTTCTTAGAGTTCAATTTGTTTGAAATGCAAATTGGTGCAACCCTCAAAGAGAGCAACGTAACACTACTAATCAAAACTGAAAATGCCCTCATCCTTGACCGGCGATTCTACTAGGCGGTTATCCTTTGGCATATTGGAACCATGTGTAAAGACGAATATATGGATAAAGTTGTTGACTGCACCACTGTCTGCACCAGTGAAAACTGGAAACAATCTAAATTCTCAATAGGAGAATTAAATCTGACATATCCATACACTGAGTATTCTGTACAATAAAAAAAGAATGAGTTGAATCAGGATTATTGCTTCGAAAAGAAGTCCAGAGTAGATCTTCGTGTGTAAATAAAACCCATCTGCAGAACAGCCTATATGGTATGAACCCATTTAGTTAAAAATGCAAGGAAGACACATACATGGTTGGAATGCATACAGGTAATTTCTGGGAGGACACAGAGACCATTACCATCGGTCCCTGCTGGAGAGCTGGGCCATCTGGAAGGGTGGAGAAGGCTTGCACATTTTACTCTCTCTACTGCTTGCAACCGTCACTATGAATGCATCTTCTATGTAGGATTTTAATAAAACAACACAAAGTTTCTAGCACTAATAATGAACAAAGGTAATTATTATTAATATGCAAAAACAGGCATAAACTTATTCTACCTTAAAGGATAGCTAGACGCCTCGTCACCGGATGTTTTTTAAAATGTTTATCTTCTGATATATATCTGCTCTCTTGCAGTAACACCCAACACAACATATCAAATCGCCGGAGAAAGCAGGGAAAGAAAAAGGAGGTAAGGAGCGAGAACAGATGAATACAAACTATTCAGAAAAATAATATTACCTTATCTCATAGCTTCCAAATTTTTGGAAACATAATTATTGTTTGTTGGACCAAAGCTATCTATAAACCAAAAGTAACGTGACTAGTTCTGTAAGCATTGAGCAGACAGAAGAGAGAAGAAATGTGTTACATTCCAATCATGCTGAAGTGTAGAGAGAAAAATCATCGGAGGTCCCACAGGATGAGAAAGGTCAAATAATTACATCCTACTCTGGTCTGGGACTCAGGAAACTCAACACCTATAAGATTTAAGGAAATCACCATGCTTTGAAGACAAAAAGTAGTATCTCACTGAAAATGCTATCATATAATCACAGGAGGGTCTGTTTGAATTATGAAAATTTTACTTGTGAACATATTGCATACCAAAATATGCTAATGACACACAATTTGCCCAAAGGATGAAGCTATTTAGGTGGTTCAACATGTAACAAAAAGTGTTATGAAAAGCTCAGAAGTAACTACTTGGAATTGGAAGTCAGAACTGCTGGGGTGGCCAGAAAACTCAAGTTAAAATCTAAATGTAATGTTGAAGAGGATACACAGTTCCCATTACCACAGTAACCATTTAGCAAAGCCATCCCTATCCCTAACAAACAGGGCTCCTCTGGCCTGAAGAAACGCCGCCTTCCTCCCATCAACAGTCATAACCGCACACCTCCCAGGTATTTCCAAACACTTTCCCAGCAGGATCTCTCCGGC